ACCAGTCCAGAAATCATTTTGTTATTTGCATAACCTCTCCCAAGAGCCCACTGCTTGCATTAGGTTTGAGTGATCTTGAGAGGAGTACTGAGCTAGGGTGCTGTGATGTGTTTAAAAAGCTACGTACAGCACTCTGCCAGCCCCTTCCACCAGCCAGAATCTTTCTACATTGCATGGGGAAGCACAGATACCCAATGATGACATCACTGGGTCTAAAATAAGGTATGTAATGAAAACGTAAAGGATTTATTAAAAAATCTCATAAAGTTCAGGGGGGTGGGGACCAGGAAAGGCTAAATATAAGCAGAATAAACTTCAGCTTTAAATTGCTCCTGCAGGCAAGTCTGCTTCCTACAATGATCACCAGACTAATATCTATATTGCTATATCTAAATTGCATACAGGTAAATGACATAGATTTCATATCTCATCAATACTTACAGCATCCATAATTTCAAACTTCTTTTTGGCTTGCAAGACATTGATCTGTATACAAAAAGCAGACATGATTTCACATTGTGATTTGCAGCAGATTAAATCAGTGCATAGTGACATAAGAAATCATAAGATCACACACGACCATCAGAGCAGGTTTGCTTCATTATGCATGGACGTTACTAGTTCTATCAAACTGATTGGGTAGATACTAATTAGGTCCACAAAACGGCGCTATATGTAGCAAGTACTCCTAAATAATATGTGTGTCATGGTTGTGTTACGGTTTGCAGTGCTGTCATGCAGGATCCCTGGTTCCATTTTCACAACGATCTTCCTATAAGATTATATATGCATTCAATGTATTTTGTACATGTTATTTACCTGAGAAAAGTAGAAGAATGGACACCGGCACTCCGGTAGCAAATCAAGTCTGTCTATTTTTTTTACGTACATGTTGCATTGCAAAATACACTTAGTGCAATGTTTCGGGGTCACACAGGATCCCCTTCATCAGGCAGAAACAAGTGATGAATTTACCTGTAAAAGCCTCTCTTATGTATACATTCGAAGGTGCAAGGGTGGGCAATTCCAGCCCTCCAGCTGTCGTGGAACTACAAGTCCCAAGATGTATTGCACTACTAAGCATGACTCCCAGAGGCAGAGGCATGTTGGCATTTGTACTTAAAGCACAGCTGGAGGGCCGGAGTTGTCCACCCCTGCCTTAGAGTGCTGCTGGGCACCACTACTGCACAGGTGAGTTGGGGGACATTTTCTCCCTGGGTCAGTACTAACAACATATGTCAGGCTGGTGGCCTTTATGGAGATACTTCATTATTTGGGGGCCTGCAGTCAGTGACACGTGGTGAGAATTATATAGCTATCTGCTTCCCATTCAGGCCTGCGATCATAGCATCTTAGCAAAGGGATGTCTACCAGTACAGATTTTCTTTGTGGCTCTGAAATGTCAAGAACCACATCGGAAACAAATTCTGGAAGATGTTAAAAGGTATATCGCAATAAACCATAGCCATCTTCACTCTTGCCCACAAATCACTGTGGCACCACCTGGTTGTGTTTGCCTCCCAGGCCAAATGTTCCCAGCCACAGCCCAGAAGGTAAACTGGTAAAGTTTGTAATAACTGATTAAAAGAAAGGAAGAACACTCACTTGTAGTACATAGTCTAGGGCGAGGTGCCGGAAGCACTTCCTTGTAATTGTCAGGGTACCCGTAGCTTCTTCCACTTCGTGTGGTTTATGGCGAGGGGCCTGAGCATTTTTCACTAGTGCAATGTCCAGATCTTCCCGGACTTTGTCAAAGTGCTTCTTTGACTCCTTGAACTTTCTCACATCTCTGAAATGAGCACACAAAGCAAAGATGAGCATATGTGAAACAGGCAAGGTACAACACGATCAATAGGTAACTAGTTTAGAAAGCAATGAAGGGAACTACTACAGGTTTCACTAATTTAATCCTGGTACCAACAACAATGCCCTCCAGTAATCACAGCAGCCATATAAGAGATTGCCGTTTGTAGACCAGCTAGACATCACCTTTCCTTTTCAGTTCTAAAGGTTTTTAGGGTTGTTATGGCTGATCTCCTTCTGAAAATACTAGCCCATTGTCATGCTGATACCCTGGCTTTAGTGAATTCAAGACCAGCTAGAGATAAGTATATGTCTTCTGAAGAATGAAAGCCAGAAGACTTAGGTCTGCCCTTTGTATGAGGACCCACTGTGTTTTGTTGTGTGACTTGCCCAATGGACTGAAGCCATGCGTATGGGGTTAAGTAGGAAAGAATGCTCAGCCACGTCAAATAAAGATTCTGCAACAAGTTGGGAACCTCTATTAGCCATTAGGAGCACCACATTTGTAAGCACTAGGTACTGCTTCCTAGGGTACTCATAAATGCCCTGATCTCTTCCCAAGCATTGAGCGTTGAATCCAGACAGGGGATATGGACAACGGAAAACCCAGGACAGGTATGGTACAGTTTTGACCTTACATGTTGCATACTCGTTCCAGGTAATCGACTTACAGATTGAAGGTACTGAATCTAAACTCATCAACTTCAGAAGACGGTCAGCAACCACCGCCTAGTATTCCTCCTATGAGAGACTTGCACACACACACATAGAGCAATGCAAATGTTCAATGACTATTTGCAAAGTGTAGCTACTCAAAACAATCAATGTTTTTTTTTTTTAATAAGTCAGATGAGTTGAAGGAAAATAAGGAGACTTTTAGAGGTGTGGGCTCTGGGGTCATCAGTCTGATCCTGGCTTCAGTACCTGGTAAGTCACTGACCTGAAACAAGAACTTAGGAAAGGCATTTTAGACTGAACTGGCTACATGCTGTTCAGTGAAAAACTAGGTGGTAAAGCCAACATAGCAGCCTCAAATTCTCCACTTTTAGAAAAAAGTTAGAAATGGCAGCTCACTTCTTGCTATCCCCACCTTAAAGAGACCATGTAATTCTCTAAAACAAAATCCTAATAGTACCCCCCTACAATAGAAGAGCTCATATACTCCCCTATCCTGTGGCCCATGTCTCATACATTGCCACCATTCCAGGTCTGCAGCATCAGGGAGTGACAGATGCCTGTGTTCCCTGCCACGTGCTGTGGCTCTGTCCTCTGACCCCTCCATCACTGCTGTATCCTGTAGTGACATATGGGGCAGAGGACGCAATCACAGCATGGCGAGGGACAAATACATTTGATACTACCAGAAGTGCAGAATGCGGAAGAGTCTTACATATATACTGCTACTCTGGAACAGTGACATAGGCTGCCGGAAGAGTAGAATATGATACCTTGTCTAATGCGGGAGCATGCTATTAGGTTTTTATTGTAGGGATTCACAAGGGTCTCTTGAAGAGATGATTTTTGATGGATCAATATGGGCACTAACCTTTGTACACAATCACTGCAATTTGCCTATATTCCTTTGCAAAATTGTCCAAATTGTAAATGTTTGTGGAATGCCTAAAGCGCCATATCAGCATGTAGTGAAAGGCTGTGATTGGACTTTATTACAATCATTATAACACCATTTATTATTTATAAAACTGAAGTCAAATTTGTGCTCAGTAAGATGAATAAGCATCAACAGTCAGGCCAGAAGCAGATGGCACAGAGTAAGCCGGGCCGATATCCAGCCGCGAATCAGTCTGATCAGAACGTCACTCAGGACAGGAAGGAGGAAAAGTAAATATGGAGGATGTCAAGATTCTTTCCGTGTCCCTCCCCCACGCACACAGCGGCTTCTGCTTCTGACAGATTCTCACTTAATTACCCGTTGCTATGGAAACTGTCTCCCCGGCCTGCCAGCGAAGCCGCTGCTCTTGTGGCCTACATACATCCATCGCACTGCTGAACCTGGGCTGGGCCTGGCTCTCGTCTCCTCTAAAAGCCTCCTAACTTTCAGTGACGCCCAAATTACCTAGTGCTCCCAGAGTAGAAAACTTTCTCCAAATATACAGAAAATATTACTGCAAAATGTCCCATGGACATCCCTCTCATCTCATATACCAGCGTTTATCAACACTTGTCATGGCATCCTTTAAAAGTATGCAAACTCTCGAGGCACCCATTCTAAAATGTAATGGATTTTAAGGGGGGACCCCCATGAGGGTTGCCCCTTCCCATTAGAGCCTCTTCCTTTCACATCAGATTCCTCCCTTCACATCATCTTATAAGGGGACCCCATGCAAAAAAAAAAACACATACACACAAAGTAGGGTTATCCCTTGAAACCAGTATTCCTTTCATATCAGAGCCCCTCCTTTCATATCGGAGCCCCTCCTTTCATATCGGAGCCCCTCCTTTCATATCAGAGCCCCTCCTTTCATATCAGAGCCACTCCTTTCATATCAGAGCCACTCCTTTCATATCAGAGACACTCCTTTCATATCAGAGACACTACTTTCATATCAGAGCCCCTCCTTTCATATCAGAGCGCCTCCTTTCATATCAGAGTCCCTCCTTTCATATCAGAGTCCCTCCTTTAAATCAGAACCCCCCAGCATTTGAGCAAAGATCAATGTTTTTAGACGAGCAGCTTTTATTAGAACTACCTAATGATTGGTTATGAAAACCCATGTTTAAGCACTTCTTGTTTCAGGGTGACAACGCTCTGTCCCTGTCTCCCAATTGTTCTCCTGTATTGTCACCATGTCACATGGGTTTTCCGATAGAGACTACAAGTAGCTGTGCCAAGGCACATTATTTAGGCATTGCTATGCATTGTTGTCACCATCAGGATACTGTGAGAAACGCCATAAAGCCACTGCTGAAATGCATATAGATATGAAGTGGTTGCAAAGAGGCCTGCAGGAAATCAGCAGCACAGAGATGCCACAAAGGATGAGAAAATGGTGAAAAGGGGATTTTATAAAAGAAAAATAGTACGGCATTTATTTATGATACACAAACCTTTAGCACACTAAAGTGCCCTCCAGTTAGGGATTACATGTACTTTAAGCAGGGTTGGATCATTATATTTCGGCTCACAGATTTTGGCAGTGATAATCTGCATTCTGAAAATGGGTACCAGAGCTTTCAATACAACATTTTCAGTGCAATCGTAGTATTGTTTGATGTCAATGGGCTGCCCATGCGCGGCAACGTAGCTCATGCAGCAGATTCTGCTGCAGAAGTAACAGGTTTTTTTCACCGCACGTTTCTCCCAGGTGCGTTTGGGGTGACATTAGCAGGTAATGGCCCCCGGAGGGCGTTACATGTTTTTCTTGCATTGCATTACTGCATGTGTGCATTTGTATAACGGGAAGGTGTGAATGGGGGCTATGACAGCTGTCCTGAAACAATACAGGAAAAGCGACACTCACTCTTTTACAAAACTGTGAAGCTGCTGTCTCACCGACCGCTGGGCCTGATCAAACAGGATCTGAAAGAAAACAAGACGTACATTACAAAGGGAGCGTTAGAAAGTGTCAAGGTATTCATATACAAATATTATGAAATATGTGATAACACGAAACATAACAAACTGACTTAAAGTGACATTAAACCCTCAGATTTTTTAACATAAACCAATACTGTAATGTGTGCCTTACTGTAATCCATGGTAGTTTCCCTTCTCTTTGCTGCTCTTCCTTTTAAATCCTCATGTCTTCTCATGTTGGGGGAGAACTTCCCTTTGCAGCTGAGTGCCTCTTCCTGTAGTGCTGGCTCAGGTTGCAAACCTACACACACACACCATGTATCCATTTCAGAGACAAGGCAGTCTGCTGCAAAACAGAAGTTCTGCCCAGCATGAGAACAGATACAGATTTAAAAAGGAAGAGCAGCAAAGAGAAGGGAAACAACCATGGATTACAGTAAGGCACACATTACAGTATTGTTTTATGTTAAAAAATCTGAGGGTTTAATGTCACTTTAAAGCCGAACTCCGGGCACAATAACTTTACTTAAAAACATTCCTTAATAGCCACGAAAGATATAAATCCACTTTATGTGCACCACATTTGCATCCCCAGATATGACCTGGTAGTACCAGTGACATCATCACTGCGCTTGCGTTATTTTTACTACTAAGAGTCATCTGCACTTTTTTGACGTTTGAAAATTCAGTTTCTTAATTCCCTATAACAGGGATGCCCACAATTTTACATCTGGAGATCTACCGCAAGCGCTATTTTTGCAGATCGCACTGGTCTGGAACGCAGGCACTAATGTGCGGGAGATCGCACTGCGGGCAGGGGGGGGGGGGGTGTGTGGCTGCGGTGCCATTGACTTCAATGCACCGCCAAGCCCACTCACGCAGGGAGCCGGCCGGCTTGCGTTCCAGTGAGTTCTAGAGGCCAAACACTCTGGAACGCAGACTTTGTGGTGTGAACCGGCCCTATTTCTTGACTGTCTCTCTCCTCACTCTCTCCCGTTTCTATCTGCGGTCTCTCCTCTCTCTCTGCTAGCTCTTTTCTCACTTTCTCTTCTCGCTCTCTTTTCTCACTCTCTCTCTGCTAGCTCTTTTCTCACTTTCTCTTCTCTCTCTCTTCTCTCCCTTTCTCTTCTCGCTCTCTTCTCTCACTTTCTCTTCTCGCTCTCTTCTCTCACTTTCTTTTCTCTCTCTTCTCGCTCTCTTTTCTCACTTTCTTTTCTCTCTCTCTTCTCTCACTTTCTCTTCTCGCTCTCTTCTCTCACTTTCTTTTCTCTCTCTTCTCGCTCTCTTTTCTCACTTTCTTTTCTCTCTCTCTTCTCTCACTTTCTCTTCTCGCTCTCTTCTCTCACTTTCTTTTCTCTCTCTTCTCGCTCTCTTTTCTCACTTTCTCTTCTCGCTCTCTTTTCTCACTTTCTCTTCTCTCTCTCTCTGCTTTCTCTTCTATCACTTTCTCTGCCGTCTCTCCCCTGTCTGTCTTTTCTTACCTCCACTACAGCCGCTTCCCAGGTCTCCTCTCGTGCGCTGGCATCCTGTCCTCCCACGGTGCTTGTGTGGCCGAATGTGCAGACTGGGAGAGGTGTCCCGCCCCTTCCCGTCTGCGGCATCTGACACATTCAGCCGCGCGGGCACCGTGGGAGGACAGGACACAGGTCAGTGAGCCAATCGCCATCTACCAGTGTTCGCTTTGCGATCGACTGGTAGATCGCGATCGACCTAACGGGCACCCCTGCCCCATAAGATTTATGACATGGATCCGCTGCATTTACTGGAAGGAATTTATATACATTTATATTTGGGTGCTATTGTGTAAATGGCAATTTACAGGCATTCACTCCTTAAAGCAGAACGTCAGGCACAAATTGTATTAACTGTTGCAATGGTGCTGCCCCTGCCTTGCAAGGGTTAACTGCTCATGCAGAACAATTACAGTTTTTCACATGGCTAATATTTATAAATGTGAGCTGAATATTATAGTAAGATAAAATACTCAACAGCCAAATAACTCATAAACTGACTCAAGTGTCAGATTCAGATCAGCAGGTTCTTCCATTCTGATATATTGCCACTAGAGGGCAGTAGAATAAAACACTAGCATGACACAGAACTGCATACACACTCTACTGCAGTGACATATGGATTGTACAAACTAAACAGTTATCCAGAAGTGATAGCAAAGACAAGCATGTTCAAAAAAAATAAAAACAAAATGGGGGTGATTCGCATATTGATGTCCTAAGCATCTTTTACAGGAAAAGATCAGAGGAAACTGTGTCACTTCGCTCACTCACACCAGTGGCCGCATGTCATGCATAGTAAGGTGCTTTACGACAATGCACATTAAATATTTTAGTGCAGGGATGGGAAAACTCTGGCCATCCAGCTGTGGTAAAAAAAAACAAAAAAAAAACACCATTATGCATCTGTTTGGGAGTCATGTCTGTGAGCATCTTGCAATACCTCATGGGATTTGTAGTTCCACAACAGCTGCAGGGCTGGAGTTTGCCTACCCCTGCATTAGTGTGATGCAGTGCCATTCATCCTCAAGGGCAACATTCTCACCATAATTCATGGTGAGAATGTTGCTGCAATGGTGCCCACTTGGCGCATTAAGAGAAGAGGTTCTTTTCTTGTTTTAAAACTGAGCAACCTTGTTTTAAATAGATCCTTAGTTTGGCAATGCACCAAACCGCGATGACCTTTAGTGCATTATACTGCAATGTACACCCACCTGCATTAAGGTGCCATTCAATTAGTGGCATTCAAATGAATGGCACTGGACCACACTAATGCATGTAATGTATATAAAAGTGTGCGGTACTGCACTCCTATATGTTTATGGGACCTAACAGCTCCAATTCACAGCTGTCATCTCAGTTGTCCCAGCTTCTCTCCTGGGATTGACTGAGGGGCGCCCACATCTGGCTAGGGATTCAGCAGTTACAGGACTTCTTCATGTTACTCCATGGAAAGGTCTGAAAAAGGCGTCCCCTTTCTAAGGTGGAAACCCCCTTTAAATTTTGTAGTGAACGGAAGCACATTAAAAAGATGTTTCACATCAAATAAACAGACTTGTCTTGTTGAGTCTGGCAGTTAACAGGTGGCCATTGTGTGCTGTGACAATCACAATAGCAGCTTACAGGAACCTCTCCAAGAAAACACGAGAAGCCCACCTACAGATGAAGACTCTTTGTATCAATGATGGCATCACAGCAGTCTGTTGGAAACCTGGAATCTGTCTCTTCCTGTAAATAGTGTGATTGCATCTGTCAGATTATTTAGTGCACTTGGAAAACAAAAATGTTGCTCTAATGTGGCTCAGTATACCAGGAACTGAGCAAAGTGTTGAGCTTGGGCCATAGAAGCCCCCAGGGTGGCTTCTATCATGATTCATGGTGAGAATGTTGCTGCAATGGTGCCCTCTTGGGGAAGTAAGAGATGAGGTTCTTTCCTGTTCTCATAACTCTGAGCCACCTTGTTTTAAACAGATCATTAGGGAAAGGCATGGAGATGGACATCCAACAACCCTATAGTGTGGTGCTGTCCAGCTGTGGTCTGTAGACCATGGTTGGTCCACACAGGCATGTCCTAAAGAATGTTCAGTAAGTGGTGACAGCGGGTGGACTGGTGGAGTATTTGCTTTTAGGCTTCCTCCTAGGACCAAGTATGGTGGCGCTGTGTGCTTTTTATAATATATATAATATAATGATGCTGGACGGGGGGGTTCACATTTCTTCACCAATTTTCCTTAGCAGCATCATACCTGCTAGGTATGCCCACAAGTTCTGATGACCAAAACAGGAGCCTGCACACAGGAGTGCCTTACGTATGTATATGATGCCACCAAGAAGCAGGTTTAAATATTACTCTGTGGCAAAATGTTCCTGAAAATGACTGGCAGCATCTTCTGTGCTTCTGCTCCTGCCTGATCTTTACAATAGTAGTGAATATTACCACAATGGTGACACCGGCCTTCGATGCTCTACCTCCTATTAGGCCTCCAAAGTGCTTCCCTACTGGCCAATGGCAATCCCTCTGCAAACCAGAGTTTATCTCAGGGTGGGCAACTTTGGCCCTCCAGCTGATGTGGAACTACAAGTCCCTTGACGCATTGCAAGACTGACTAGGTGGCCTAGTGGGACAGAGGAGCGGTGTCAGAAGGTGGAAGGGGACAAATGATACGAGCAACACTGACTGCGCCAATTCTTCCTTTTCAGGCGCTTTGATAAATAAAACCCACAGAAAGGTCACCCGATTTCTGTAACTTTCTGACCAAATTTGTTTTGCCCGCAGTGCAGCTTTAAAGTAAACTTCTCCACACTTGCCAATGCTTAGTGCAGCGGTGGGCAAACTCTGGCCCTCCAGCTGTTGTGGAACTACAAATCCCATAAAGCACTGCAAGATTCTCACAGCCACAAGCATTACTCCCAGAGGCTTGCTGGGATTTGTAGTTAAAAGCACAGCTGGAGGGCCAGAGTTGCCTACTCCAGTGTTAGAGTGCTGCTGGGCACCACTACCGCACCGGGGAGCTGGGGGACATTTGCTCCCTGGGCCATTACTAACAAGATATGTTAGGCTGGTGGCCTTTGTGAAGATACTTCATTATTCAGGGGCCTGCGGTCAGTGAAACGTGGCGATTCCGTGATTGTTTGAAAGCAATATATGAGTGAAGTAAATGTCACATTTATGTATTTTAATTCTAATACTTAAAGTGACATTAAAAGGTTAATTTTTTTCCCCCTCACCCAATGTTAGTGTAGGGACTTCCCTTAAATGATGCCTCTTAATCCGATCTTCTTCTTTCCTGTAGTTTTCAGATGTCCCTCCAGCGCTGGGTGCGGGTCTCCGATCCAGCGCCGACTCCTCTGTTCTCCACTTCTCTGATGTCCCAGGGAGTCTGTGCGGGTCTCTTCTCTGATGTCCCAGGGAGTCTGTGCGGGTCAGTACCCCATGGACTTACCTTGCATCTCTCCTCGTCTCCCGGCCGAACATCTGAAGTGCGCAAGCGC